CATGCATGCAGATGAATCTGAAAGTACATGTTTTCAGACACTTCAACTGATATTACATAGTAGCAGTATCTCCCCAAGCAATAAACACTTGCCAGAAACAGCATCTATTTCCATTGCATGATAAATTGAATATGAATGTAATGTCTAATCTTCACTTACTTGTAATAACTTATCATATCTATCGGCGGCCATAAGGAATCTACCATCCTCTAATTGCATTTCTCGGTTCTCTAATAAATTATTAATGACAGGTAATACATTTCTCTCTGTTTTCTCTATGCCATCAATGACAAGAATGTGGCCATTGGTGGCTGCCCTCACAGCACACTGGAAACAAAGCAGTAAAAGTACTCATATTAAAAGAAAATAAACCTCAATATCACAAGCCTAGGATATTTACTACCTTATTTCAACTACTAATGCATGTACAATTGACAGAAGAATAAATATATTTTTAAAAGTTGTATGAGGACGATGAATATCACTGTTACATGTCTCTCTTACCAGTCGAATAAATCACGAAGTCATGAATTGACATCTTGAGCTGAGCTGCATGAGCTTTTTGTATTTCAGTAATTAACAGGGCAAATGGGTGTTAAATACTGTGATGATTTGAAAATTTGAAAAAAAAAGATTTCAAAACACTGACTGTCTCACATCGACTCTTTAACATGTATTAACATGAAGCAATGAATCATTGACTACCGGTATATTTTTTTTTCAAAACTATCGCTAAACTCCTGAAATTAACTCAAAATTTAAAGATTTGCTTTTCAAACGAGAATCTTGGCAACTAATATTTGTCTGCTATTTGAGATGCACAACATGAAAACAATGTGATTCACATTATCAAAATTTATAATACATAGAGAAAATACATTTGATTTTTCATCCATGGTTTTTAGTCTAACTAATTCCAGAGTACCTCTGTGATAAATTTAATTTAAATCTGATTAAAGAAAATATTACATTTCAAAGTTAAAAAATTTGAAACATTTGTAATGTATTATGTAAAAAAATATATAATAAAAATAACAACATTAGACTATACTACTAGTATTTTAATTGTGAAATTAATCCTTTCATACATACTTTGATAATAAGTTTTGACATTGTTAATCAATAAGTTCAAATTTTAGACTAAAAAATGTAACACATCAACAGTTTTAGATTATGCCTGTAATGTGAAGATGATATTTTATTGCTGTGATAAAAACAAAATATTCAATGAATGATAAATATATAAATAAACGTTACCTGGTCTATGTAGTAAGCAGTTGATGATAGAATTTCTCTTCTTTGTTTCAAATCGGTTTCTGTTGTATCTCTTGTTAAAGCAATATATTCTACTTCACGCTTGGTTAGTTCCTGTAAGAGTTAAGAAGAGTGTATCATCATTGATGGAAACAAGGCATAAATATTTATCCTGTACTACAGGAATATAAAAAAATTGAACCATGGAATAATGTTTGTTCATAAGCACACTGAAGGCTATGGAAATACCAACATTAAGCTAACAATGATACATCATATTTTGTAATGGAAGTAGAATGGAAGTGAATACTTATTTACATCACATTCAAATGATAAATATACTCACAGCATACTGCATAACTATTTCCCTTCTAAAGGGACCTGGAGGACCAATGAGAAACACATCTTGACCCAACAAATCCTAGAAAAAACAAATACACAGTATGAGACAGCATTGTAGAAAAATACTGTTGTACATGTTATATGGTAGTATGTAAGAGATTGTAGCTAATATTGTTGTACATGTTAGCATGCAGGAGATTGTAGCTACCCCAGTAATATTGTTGTACACATTAGTATGCAGGAGATTGTACCAAATATTGATGTACATGTTAGCATGCAGGAGATTGTACCTAATATTGTTGTACATGTTAGCATGCAGGAGATTGTACCTAATATTGTTGTACATGTTAGCATGCAGGAGATTGTAGCTAATATTGTTGTACATGTTAGCATGCAGGAGATTATACCTAATATTGTTGTACATGTTAGCATGCAGGAGATTGTACCTAATATTGTTGTACATGTTAGCATGCAGGAGATTGTAGCTAATACTGTTGTACATGTTAGTATGCAGGAGATTGTACCTAATATTGTTGTACATGTTAGCATGCAGGAGATTGTACCTAATATTGTTGTGCATGTTAGCATGCAGGAGATTGTACCTAATATTGTTGTACATGTTAGTATGCAAGAGATTGTACCAAATATTGTTGTACATGTTAGTATGCAAGAGATTGTACCAAATATTGTTGTACATGTTAGTATGCAGGAGATTGTACCTAATATTGTTGTACATATTAGCATGCAGGAGATTGTACCTAATATTGTTGTACAAGTTAGCATGCAGGAGATTGTACCGGTACCTAATATTGTTGTACATGTTAGTATGCAAGAGATTGTACCAAATATTGTTGTACATGTTAGCATGCAGGAGATTGTACCTAATATTGTTGTTCATGTTAGCATGCAGGAGATTGTAGCTAATACTGTTGCACATGTTAGCATGCAGGAGAATGTACCTAATACTGTTGCACATGTTAGCATGCAGGAGAATGTACCTAATATTGTTGTACATGTTAGCATGCAGGAGATTGTACCTAATATTGTTGTGCATGTTAGCATGCAGGAGATTGTACCTAATATTGTTGTGCATGTTAGCATGCAGGAGAATGTACCTAATATTGTTGCACATGTTAGCATGCAGGAGATTGTACCTAATATTGTTGTACATGTTAGCATGCAGGAGATTGTACCTAATATTGTTGTGCATGTTAGCATGCAGGAGATTGTAGTTAATATTGTTGTACATGTTAGTATACAGGAGATTGTACCTAATATTGTTGTGCATGTTAGCATGCAGGAGATTGTACCTAATATTGTTGTGCATGTTAGCATGCAGGAGATTGTACCTAATATTGTTGTGCATGTTAGCATGCAGGAGATTGTACCTTTTGCATGATCCATCTTAGATGCCTCATCAGAGTTTGTGGAGGAGTGTCAGGAACTGAATGAGAAAATAAATGACATTGTTAGAATCACAGATTATTGTTGCTATAGTAACTAAAGGCAAAACACAGCCATGCCATGTATTCCTTGTAGAATACATTATATTTGGCATGAAAATGTCTGGATTCATGCAAAAATCAAAGAAAGCTTAGAAAGAACTAAAATTAAAAGTAATTTAAAAATTACGATTGGCCTTCCAAATTAGAAACCTGGCAACTAATATTTGTCTGAAAACAATGTAATTCACATTATCAAAATTTATAATACATACAGAAAATACATTTGATTTTCATCCATGGTTTTTAGTCTAATTAGTTCCAGAGCACCTCTGTGATGAATTCTATTTAAATCTGATTTTTTTAAATATCAGAAATGGGCTAATATTAGATAATCAATATGCATGTTTATCAACATTAAACTAATTATGTCTGTGGATTACCTCAATGACCCAAATAAATTATTATGCCAATTAAGCAAATATTATGCATAGATTTAGATCTGTGTATTGTTCCAGGATGCACATGCACTAAGTTTTATTATATGTGATATTGTGGACTGAGAGCGTTGACTCTGCATAAAAACATGGATGAGTTCAGGAAGAAATTTCAACAAACTAGAAGAGTTATTGGAAAGGTCGCAGGCATTTTCCTCTAAGAGAATTGCAACTGAAAGTGGGTGATCCCTGGTTTCGAAATGAGTTCTTTTTGACAAGACGAATGTCAACACGGCACGTTGACGAACACATCTCTCCCCCCTGTGCAAGAAATATCATGGAAGTCTAAACGTTCCAGCCCTTTTATAATGCATTTGATTTGTTTGTGTCATGATATCAAAAACTGCTGTGGAAAGTGTCGCGATCGCGTATAGTACTGTCAAAACAAACGTAAGTCGTCGGCGATCCTAGTACCTAGCGACCTGTGACCCTTTTCACGATAAAATGATAGACATCTCCATTTGCATATGAAAGTACCCGGATCTGGTAAGAAATCTTACCAGTGAATTGCAGCACCGGACAGTCGGTTGTGCCTAACGGCACTCCATACTTATTTATTCACGCCTATTACGTTTATACACACTATTTATTAATAATAACAAATTAATAATAGGTACGACCGACTGTCGACAGTCTACCACTGAAACTGACATAAAACAGGACCAAAGTAACAAGCTTGTTGATATTATAACACTCAGGGTTCTGCCCAGCTTGATTTGAGTGCTGGTCGCTAATTAATATTCATGAGCTCATTAATATTCATGAGCTAATTAATATTCATTTTCTATTCTACTAGCTACGATTTAACTACTTTAATTATTTTAACTTTTATTTATTTTAAATATTTCAATGTAAAATTAATCTGCTTTAATAAAAGTGAAAAAATATATACACTAAATATTTTTTAAATCACGTCTAAAATACGTATTTTGAGACATTGACCTCTGACCTGGCAGCCATTTTTTTTTCAAAGCATGTCGTCTGTTTGTAATGGCCAAAGTGGCAACAAGAAATTAATAATTGTTTTCTTTTCCGATGGAACGCTGGTAAATCACATTAATAGTGAGAAATTAGTATTCCTTGTATCGCTGACTGAATATAGCTTATGAATTTAATTTTATGAACGAGCCAAAAACATCAATGACGGTTACTACACTTGAGTGCAAGTGCAGATTAAACGAACGACAGCTTGACGCATTGCTGCCGGTGAAGTGAGCAAGTTATTGTTTAACTCGGCAAATCCTACACACAACTACATGTAAACTTGCAATGGTAATCCTTCCTTCTGTTTATTTATCATTGTCTCCACTTCCATTATCTTGATGTACGACTTATTCCGATATGGATACAGAATGTCAATCGGAGGTTAAAACAAAAACACAATAGGCCGATGTCACACGTGTACGTTGATTTTGAACAGCGGTATTTTATTTCAAGTTTTGTTGTGTGTTAATTTTTTGCATTGTGCTGTGTGTTAAAACCAGCAAGGACAATAGAATGATGGTCCAGTGGCCGACATCCTGTGTGTATAATACCGGTAAACAAATAGAATAGTCCTGATCGCCAACTTTTTGTCCTGGTCGGAAATTCTGAGTGGCGGTTGCTAGCGACCGGCGCCGACCAGCGTGGGCAGATCCCTGAACACTGTATAATCCATCCTATATATACTTACTATATTTTGTTGGCACCAATTCAGGTTTCTTTGGTGTTTGTAATTGTATACTGACATCTCCGATACTTACATGGCTGTTGTCTGTGTGGACAAAAAACAAAATGTCACGCTGGAAAACAGCAATGAATACTGATGATATTGGGTCCCTAACAGGATGTTTGGCTGTTATCACCAAAATGTTTAGTTTACAGTGCATTATGGGTATAAACATGAATGGTTATCATTGAAATGTTTGTTGTGAAGTGCATTATGGGTAAAAACATAAATGGTTATCATTAGAATGTTTGTTTAACAGTGCATTATGGGTATAAACATGAATGGTTATCATTAGAATGTTTCGTGTGCAGTGCATTGTGGGTATACGCATGAATTGTTTGCACCAGAATGTTTTGTTTGCAGTGCATTGTGGGTATATGCATGAATTGTTTGTACCAGAATGTTTCGTTTGCAGTGCATTATAGATATATGCATGAATTGTTTTCACCAGAATGTTTGGTTTGCAGTGCATTATGGGTATATACATGAATTGTTTTCACCAGAATGTTTGGTTTGCAGTGCATCATGGGTATATGCATGAATTGTTTTCACCAGAATGTTTGGTTTGCAGTGCATTATGGGTATAAACATGAATTGTTATAAGAATGTTTGTTTTGCAGTGCATTATGGGTATAAACATGAATTGTTTTCACCAGAAAGTTTTGTTTGCAGTGCATTGTGGGTAAATGTATGAATTGTTTTCACCACAATGTTTGGTTTGCAGTGCATTATGGGTATAAGCATGAATGGTTATCACCAGAATGTTTGGTTTGCAGTGCATTATAGATATATGCATGAATTGTTTTCACTAGAATGTTTGGTTTGCAGTGCATTATGGGTATATGCATGAATTGTTTTCACTAGAATGTTTGGTTTGCAGTGCATTATGGGTATATGCATGAATTGTTTTCACTAGAATGTTTGGTTTGCAGCGCATTATGGGTATATGCATTGTTTTTACCAGAAAGATTTGTTTGCAGTGCATTATGGGTATATGCATTGTTTTCACCAGAATGTTTGGTTTGCAGTGCATTATGGGTATAAACATGAATTGTTATAAGAATGTTTGTTTTGCAGTGCATTATGGGTATATACATGAATTGTTTTCACCAGAATGTTTGGTTTGCAGTGCATTATGGGTATAAACATGAATTGTTATAAGAATGTTTGGTTTGCAGTGCATTATGAGTATATGCATGAATTGTTTTCACCAGAATGTTTGGTTTGCAGTGCATTATGGGTATATGCATGAATTGTTTTCACCAGAATGTTTGGTTTGCAGTGCATTATGGGTATATACATGAATTGTTTTCACCAGAATGTTTGGTTTACAGTACTATCACATGCCACTGGTCTTTGGTATTGCCCACACAAGACTCTTGCTGGACAAAAGTTTAATTAAATTTAATTTAATTAGAACAGATTGAGTGAACTGTATACGGTCTGGTGCCTGTTTTTATTATTAGAAGTTTATAAATAAATAAATAAACGCTGCTCGGACTGATAAATATGATATATAGAAGATAATATTTGGTAATCGTAGTCCTAAATAACTATTAAAAATAGCTAAAAAATAGCTATTTTTAATAGTTATTTATTATTAGAAGATGCTTACACACGCAATTGTTATACATTTGGAATGCACATTTCCTAATATGGTAGACTGAAAATACCCCGTAAAATACGCAAAATTACGACATACTGTAACTTACAATGTTACGGTGACAGATGTATAATAATACTGGTTATGAACAGGACGATATGTATTAAACATGAGATTTATATTTCTTGTTGGAACTCACCCCCACTCCCCACTACATGCAGGCTTTCAGAACTAATTATCACAAGGGCCAATATTTGCATTGAGATATGTAAAACAAGAGCTTGTCAAAGCTCTTATCAATGATTTTGTGTCCTATTGCTAAAGACAAATGCAATTAGGACGAAATATTGTGGCATTCTCAGTGGTAGGGAAGGGATCACTATGTCATCACATCTATGGCTCGTTTGAAAAAAAGAATTCTGTTGCTAATATTTAAGTGCTATGCCAGCCCTAGGCCTGAATTTCAAATGGACATTTGTCATTTTTCTCACATTAAATTTGCAATGATGATCATACTAGGTGATATTACTAATTATTATAAATCTGTCACTCACGTCATACAATGTAAGTTACAACATGCTGTAATTTTGTGGTAATTTATGGGGTATTTTCATTTTACCATATTGGGAAATGCGAATTCCAAATATGGCATGATTACGCACATAAACATCCTCTAATAATATAAAAGAGATATGGCTGCCATTATGGTTTGACCAGACTCCACACAAAGAAGTTTGGTGATTCTGTTCTAAGCATTTTGGATTTTGACATTATCAAGATGTATAATAATAAGGTTATTACGAGGATATGCACTCGGACAGTACACCGTCGCATCAACCTCTGCACATCGGTTGATACTCCCCGCTATACTGTCTTTGTGTATACTTTGAGGTATATTTTTTACTTACCTCATATTAATACTAGGGTAAATGTTTGCATCAAGAATTATAGAACAAAAGCTTAGCAAAGCAGTGTTTTGTCAAAAAGAATTGATAAAATATTGCAAAACAGAAAAGTTTGGGGGGAAATTACACACTGGCATCATTTTCAGTGATGGTGACACGCAAGAAACACTGTATAATGGTGCATTTGTGAATTAGTACACCAAAGAAATACATACATATTGTTGTTTATAACTACAGTAGACTATATTCGTGAAATCTTGAGTTTGTTATCAGTTAAATTAATTAATTTTTGGTGCATGTATGTATAATGTGTGCATTCAATCTTATGCTGTCATCCTATATTGCTATACATGTATTAGAATAGTGTTTGAGTGTGAAGCCAACATGTCGCAGGTGACGACTCCCTCGCTTTAAGGAAAGACTCTTGTGTGTTACCAAATAGTTTCTATTGCCAATGGAAGAGTCTTCATTCGATCTGAATAAAGCCTGATAATTTACCGGAGTATTTTTCATACATGCTTAAAAGCAAGCTCCTGTCTTCATGAAATTTTTAATTTATATTATTTACTAGATATAGATCAACCTAGAAGTTTTAGATTTTATACAATAATATGTGTTTTGATAATTTGATCTAAAAACAGGGTGCATCAATTTGCTGCATACTCGCATTTTTATCCACAAGAGGATCAATGATGGCGTCTGTGTGGCAGCCGTATGTAAATATCATCCACACTCCTAACATGCTCGTTCAGGGCTAAATTTGGAAGAGTATAGTTGTACGTACGTCGAATGGGTGTAAATAATATCTTTCTACGCCATGAACCAATTGGATAAAGACAACAGATTAATGCGTAGAACAATACAATATTGTCGTAGACTTATAAAATTAAGCAAAGCGACCGGCGTTTTTCTATTCACAACATTGTTGTTACAACCCCACTCAGAGATCCACTGACCTGTACTTTGTGACCGTAGTTGAGCCGAGGTGTTGCTCGTAATAACTCCATTCAACTGACGAACTCGCCGGAGTGCACTTTCTGCACTCATCCTTACGACTCTCAACATGGGTACACTTTGACTCTGTTACGACACCTAACAATAGTTTGATCACCTATTCATTTTGATTTATTAACCAAATATTGGACGGCCTGCACAAAGTTCAGGACGATATACTAGAAATCGGCCATGTTGGTGTGTTTGCTCGACACGTTTGAGTGTTTCTCTTCTCCACAACTAACGCAATTTTTTTCATTTTGACGTTGGCGGCGCCCCTCAGTCACGTTTATCATGAAAAACAAGGCCGAGATGATACCGGTAGTTGCGGGGGACGGGGCAATTTTTTTCTATTACTGTCATTAGATCTGTGATTTTAGTTTGAATTTTTTTTAATAAAAATTTCTCTTACTGTTTCTAAAATTCTGAAAAAGGAACCTAAAAACTAGCTGTGACCTGAACGATTTCAAGTAAAACATGACGGTTGACCAGCATTTTTTTTGGTGGGCCACAAATGCTTTTAATTTTATTTGCAATGGTACTGTAACAACCATAAGAGTACCATTACTGGCCATACAATTTATTCCTTGATCTAAAGGAGTTTTTCACAAACAATGCAAACAGTGTAATTTTCCCAGATACCCTCACCCCACCCCTGTACCAATTTTTGCAATATATTTTATACTGCCATCTTAAACATCTTAATGAAATGTTCATCATATCTACAATATTTCATGCTTTTTTTCTGAATTGCAGAATTTACAGTATTTACGACAAGAAGAACAACAATGTTTTGTGACCAGTGATACAACTTGGCCTTTGCATGCAGCTCACACCCACGTATGATTACCATACAAATGATATAACTTGACATGTGCATGCTGCTCACACCCACGTATGATTACCATACAAATGATATAACTTGACATGTGCATGCTAGTTACTTTGACTAACATATTACTTCACGATTTATTGCTTACATAAAAAAAGATACATTAAATATTGAAAAAAAAACCTAAAATGGTCTATAGTGCAGGAACAAAATACAGCTAAACAGTTTAATTAAAGTCTCTTCTCTTTATTGTTTCCACTTTCTGCAATTAATTGAAAACATTCATTATATTAATCATGCCATTACTGAGACAAAAAAAGATGCATTGTTAAAACAATAGACAATTGTCGATGTATACACAAGTATTTTAAATGATAATACACAGATAGAAGGAAATGAATTTAACAAACATCCATTTTTAATATTGGGAATAATTTGTTTATCTCACAGAAACTGGATGTAATAAATTGCTTTTATTGTTTTCTGGTGTTCAGTATTCCAAGTGAAATACACCTTGTAGATAACTGTTCTGGCGAAGATCCTCTCAGAATCCTAAGATGTACTTTTGTTGTCAGCAATGTGCCTCTGGCTTTTAAATACATGTTAGTACTGTACCGGTACTTACACTTACGATGTACTTCAAATAACATACACCTGGTTTAGCAGACATTGTTGAGGTTAAATGAACATGGCTCATCAAAGCACACTAACGTAGCTTACTTCTTTAGTTCATAAGAAAAGGTAATAACACTTCACTATCATTCTAATTATTAGTAAACAATACTGAAATGATTTCTATCCTACATGCAACTTTTCATTCATTCATTCATCCGTGGATTATTTTCTTAAAAAAGTTAATGTATTATTTCCGTAATTTAAAAGAATGGGAATGAGTAACTGTACATTTACAAACAATACCTCGTTTGGGTAAAAGTTTGTTGATCCGCTTTTTTGTTTTTAGATTTGCACTCCTCAGCATGTAGGTAGCAGCTAAAGAGTTGAAAATAATCATGTACAGTACTAAACAAACTTATCTACAACTTTTGTGTACTACCGTCATTTCCAGACTCTGGGGTAGTACTGGTAACTTGATTCTATTGATGTACACCATACCAAAGTCTTACTCCTTTATGTCAAACATCAAAACAAATGTATTTTCCACAATTTGACTAAGTTGCACCTAGGATCAAATTATTCTCATAATCGTAAAATAACATGTGATCTATGTATAAGTTCTATGTAACTTAAAAAACAAGATTATATGGTGTATCAAATAAAAATTTCATTAAAACACAAAAATGTGAGTTTATACATGTATTGACACCCCCATGTAATTTCCACAATTTAAACAAATTTGAGTTAAAGTAACATAAATTTGAGATTACCATATCTCTTTAATTTAAGCCCATTTTTGGAATGACCTACATATACATGACATGCCTATCTTTTCATTCCACTGCCAACATGTACTGCTTTCCATAGACTGGCACAGTCGGGGCGATTAATTTGTTTTTTGTAGTTTAAATAAAATTAAAAAAAATCGCGAAATGGAGGTGTTAGCGCGAAATCACATGTAATTGCGAAATCACCCCGACTGGTTTATTCTGCATGGCCCTCTATCGACACTGCAGGAACCCGTCGATTTTCAACGGGTAATTATGTTAATGAGTGTTTTAATTGACAATCATCTACGCCAATCACAACGTCTCTTCAACTGACCTCTGACGGAGAAGACGTCGGCTGATTGTAGCAGCCGATTTTTTTTTCTACAACTAGTACGAGTTATTTGTTTACACATTGTGATAAATTAGAAACGACGACTACGACAAACTCGAATTTCAACGTGCCGCCATGTTGGGTCTGCAGTGTGACCTTTACCTTGTTGACCTCATTATGCACGTATTTCCGCGCCCACCTCACTATAATACGTACAATTCATGAATATTTAATAGCAATGAATTTCCTGCAGAATAAACCAGTTGGGGTGATTTCGCGCTAACACATCCATTTCGAGATTTTTTAAATTTTATTTAAACTACAAAAACAAATTAATCGCCTTGACTGCGTCAGTCTATGCTTTCCATTGAAAATACTGATACAGTTCACAGAAAATGACAGCTCGGTATTAGTAAAATGAAAGATGTTAGTTTAAATTCAAGGCTTATTTCCGTACCCCCAGGCAGTGATAATATCTTGTGGTGTATGTTGTTGTCTGAGAGCTGCTTTACCATATCCTCCACGTCCACTGTCGTAATCTGTCCTATACTCATCACGAACCTGTAAACATTATAAGAATCTAAAAGTTAAAATTACCGGTCATTGTGAGCACAAACTGAGACAAAGATGAGATAGGGTGAGAAGAGAAATAATTGTCTTGAGAAACCAAAAAATACATAAATAAATCAGACTATTCCACAAACAGCATTTTGCAGAGCAGTCTCCATTGAGTAGTCAATGTTAAAAAAACTGCAAAAATAATTTGCACCATGTCAATGACAATATACGGTAAAACCTTTTCAGTCTATAACACCAACCCAATTTGTTTTACACGTAGATGATGAAAAACATATTACATAGAAACCAATGCAAAAACTACAGAAGGCTGGCAAAAATTTGTTGGACTCCCATAATTCCTTTAGTTTGACTGGTGACCCCCATATTTTGTTTTTGTTTTCATTTTCAGTAACATGGACTCAGTCACAAAAAACTTGACATAACATAACGGTACAATTTACAATAACAGTACAAAATTTAGGTATAAAATCACAAATTGTATTTCAAATACAAAATAATCAAATCAAAGAGATAACAGTAGAATTAATGGTAGAAATCACTTCAAACTATAGATATTAAAACTATATAAAAAACAAAAACAGGCCTGAGATCTGGTTCTGAACATGTCATTATACCTGATTTTAGTGTTTGGTCAGCAGCCTGCCATTTTTGTCAGATGACAAACTGGTTGTATGCATGCAAGTATGCCATGATGTACTATCTTTGTATCAAGTTTGAAGTCAATTATTCAAAGCATGTACAGGATATATATGTACATTGTATGTCTGAAATTTAATGTCAAATACAAAATGCCCACCAGTCACCAATCTTGAGTCCAATTCAAAGTGATGTGCATTAACTACCTATAATGGTAAATACATCTGAAGATGATCAGACAGAAATCTGTTTCTGGGCATGTCAAAAATACCTGGTTTAAGAGTATTTTTAAAACCAAAATTGCCACAAGTTGGCCATCTTTGACAAAATCATCGCATGAGCACATGTATCGAAACAAAAGTATGTGCAAGATTGAAAGTGATTAAGTATGTCTGAGATATAGTTCCGGACACACAAACACACTGGGACTATAAAACAAGTCCTCGTTTTGGACTTCACCCGTACAGTAACTAAAAAAGGTCAACCATTTTGAATAGCGTCTCAATTTTTTTTTTTACACGCAAATGTATCCCACTACAGTGCAACTTTGTACTAAATATCAGTAATATGTATGTAAATGGGAATGCATAGAAAATAAGCTCTCATTCAGAGGCTTATACATACCTGTCCACCACTTTTGCCTCTACCATACTGTCTACCTTCTATGAAACCAGCATCCCAATCAGTTCTCACAATTCTGTCATCTAATCTGGAACCATTCACATATCTCATGGAGTTTTCAGCATCATTTCGTGTGTAATATCTATCATAATAGTTGAGGCTCATTTTCACCTAATTCATTGATTGTTTTCACATGCATATTAGGTTCATCATAAAATACATTTTTGCTGTTTTCCAACAAATTTTAAATCTGTAATCTCTGAAATCATTTCTGAATTTCACTGAGGTCTTTTGGCAATTATGTGAAACATCTGAATTAGTGTTTATTTGTTGAAAATATGTACTACCGGTAGCTGTTCAATTGTCGAACATTTTTCAGCACGTTTATCTTTTTGGTCTCATTTGATTGTACATTTGAATTTCATTCGCTAATGCATTTAAAAAGTTACATCTCAAATCAATTTGTACATATGCATACCATAATATTTCAAAAACAAGTAATAGCCCAAATATCCCAACAAAGCTTTAGGAATGATTTTGTAGGCAATTTTGAAGTTGATTTTTTGCATATTTCATTTAAACAATAATATGAATGCAACATCGAAATGCAAAAATTAAATACAGATCTTACTTATTCTTTTACTTACAACATGGGTTGGCAACTATTGTCTACAATTGTTGATGTAAGAAGGGTTCAAACCAGCAAAGATGTTACCATTATACATTTGCAGGATTATCAGCAGTAATAGTAAAATAAGAAAAACATAAAATCTAAAATTTTCCATTGTTACATTTGAGTTGACCTTCAGTGAAAGTATTAAACCACGGCTCTGGGTGTATAAAAGGAAAGATGGCCACCAGTTTTCAGTACACAAATGACACTCAAGCTTGAAACATCACTTCAGGGGTGTTATGGTACATTATTTTCATGTCGCACACAACCATGAATATATCCATAATACAATTTCCATATTATTGACATGATTCAAACATGGGTTTGACTTTTCAAAATGACTGTCAATCATGGGCTTATGCAAATGCAAAGTGATAATCCAGAGTTGTTTGTTCAATCTCTAGGTATGTTTATGTAATTAAGAAATGATATGCAAATGTGAAATGTTGCATTACAATTTGGAGCATTTTTACTGGCTGACTGACAGTCAATCAGAGCTAAAGGTAAAAAATGTATTATGTACCATTGAGTATTTGCATGTGTAAAGTTTGAATGTAAATTATTCTAGACAAAACTGAAATATAGGAGGGGAAAGACAGAGAAAATCTAGTCTCATCCTGCTAAAGTACTTTCACGACAATGGTTTCTAAGTACATTTGTACCAATAATGATTAAATCACTGAAACAATAAATATTGTGAATAGTTGGTTTCAAAAAACTGTAATAGAAGATGGGAGGTCTTCCACTATTACATTAAAAGGATACTCAACAAAACAAAACCCACATGGAGTCTTCTTAACTTTATCCAGACCCATAATTATTCGTTTTAAATCACCACATTTAGAAAATAGTTCATGAATTTGTTCTTCTGTTGTGTAGAATGATAAGTTTCCTAAATATAAAGTGCTACTAGTTGATAAGCGATATTCCTGTTCTGTCAAAGTACCCTGTAAAAACAATAACATATAAACTAGTTGAAACAAATCTGGAAGAACAACAACAAGTAATTATTGAAATAATAATTGTATTGTTGGTATTCAATTCAATTATGCAAGGTAACTTCAACATGCAATGTACAGCAACCCCTACCAAAGAGTATCAATAGTTCTACTGAAAATAATAATTTGAGGTTATTTTGAGGATATCTAAAAGTATGCATGAAGACAGTACAGCAGGAGTATCGACCGACGTACAGCAACAGTGTACTGTCTGAGTGCATACTTTGAGGTATCCTCGTAATAACATTATTATTATACAACTTTTCCTTCCAAGAATACATCATGGGAATGCGAAATCCAAGAAGTTTAGAGCAGAATCAACAAACTTCTTTGTGTGGGTCAAACCCAGGTGGCAGCCATGTTTGTTTTATTATTAGAGGATGCTTATGCAAGTAATCATTACATATTTGGAATTTGCATTTCCTCATATGGTAGAATGAAAATACCACGTAAAATACTGCAAAATTACGGCACGCTGTAACTTACGCCGTTACCGTGACTGATGTAATACATGTAATCCACAGTTGTGATACTGTGTTGGTTCCTTGGGTCACTTGCAAACTTTCAGAGACAACCCATGATTGTTCGTGTTTAGTATTCTCAAAAGTGTAACTGGCACATGGTGCTAAAAAGTCAAATTCATATTACGTTATGTAATTCTGATTCATAGTACAAATGAAATGAAAATAAAAACCCAAACTATGCGAAACTTCTGGAATTTACAATGTTACTGTTACTACTACTAGCAGGTTTCCTCTAAGTGTATAACGACGCAAACGTGTGTACCTATGTACGACATACGAAAAACCTATACTATAACCACGCATATAAAACCATAGACTTTCTAGGGTCTACGGATAAACCATGGTAGTTTGTTCCACGTTAAAACAAAGCAAGTGGGTGGTGAACAAAGCATCACTACCATTGCAATGCTGTGTTGTGGAGGTTGTCGATCGAGACTGACTCATTTCACCCAATATGTTTGTTTTGCTATTGAAAAAAACAAACAGAATAACTACAAACCTTGAAATGTTGGTCGCGATATGATGTTAGCTCGACCATACGGTCTGTAAGTTGCACGGGAGACGTCAGGTTCGCCATTTTGAAACCGCTGTACTCGGTGTGAGCGCCCTCGGTGGTCAACTTTGGAATTCGTTTGTGTTTATTCAATGCATGTACATTGGTACATGTACATGGAAGTACGCAAATTAAAGGCAACTTGAGTGTCCAGCATTATGATACCATAAACAAACAGACACGCAAGTCATTCACTACTGAACCTTCGATCAGTGCACAATTCCCCGAATTTCCCCCCAAAATCATGTTGTATACACGTATGGGCAACGTGATATGTTCATGGATATAAAACAGCCGAAAAAGTGACATTTAACAGCAAGTTTCTCAAAAAACAAAATAAGAAATTATTTACTCTCTACCTGTCCCCAAACATAAACAACAGTGACGGAAATCTAAAATATAGCCTTCAAATAAACCCAAATGCATTGTGAAAGAAGGAATATATTTTGCACTGTGTGTGTTATAAATTGTAGATTTATGTTGAAGGGTCGATGTAAGGAGATTTTAAAGTGTCTCAAACATTTGCCATTTTGGAGTTCGTGGACAGTTAACTAGAGAATACACATGATGCTCTGCCTTATTTTATTTTTTGCTATTATTTCAAATACGAACGCTATAATGCAAATATTTTTTTTAAATGTAGAATATCTGTTAACATGCCCCCCCCCCCCCACTACTGCACGTGTACAGAACGGTGTTGGTTGATTCAGTAAGTCCTGGGGTGCAGCACGGGCTCCATGTTTGTAGCTCGGTGACTTGGCAGTGAGTGATTTTGTTTGTTCATTGTATTATAATGCTTGACATTGTTTTTAAATTTTAAGAAAAACGTCTCCAGCTCGAAACGGTTTTAGAGATCAAACTTTTGAGATTTGTTTTAGCAATGAGGTAGACGACCCTATCAACAAAATTGAAGCATGTGCGCATGTACCAATGGTAATGCCACATGGCCCATAGAAATGATATACTAGTAATACGCAATATTTTCCGAATTTACTCTGAACGCTGCAATTCATACAAGAGAAGATGAAAGGCGTGCTATGAAATTGAGGAATGCTAATTCCATAAATGCATGGTATATTTTAAACTTAGATTATTTCGTCAAATCATTGTAAAACACAAGCCGTGGCCCATGTGAACATGTAAAAGTGCAAGAGAACCCTGGGGGTTTTACTGGGGCTAGAAAAGTCTGGAAAAGTTGTTGATAATTCTTCTATCGACACAGAAGAGCTGTGGGTTCTTCCATAGACTTGCGTCCACTAACGTGCCACGCAAAGATATATCGCAAATAAAAACTCTCTAATAGTATTTTCTCTTATCACACAATCGAAAATATCATCATCGATCCACCTGTTTAATAAACATTCACCGAAGCGAAAATCGTGGCAAAAATGATCGTTTTTATGTTTGTTTTTTCGAGTTTTAAATCACTTCCCAACCACAGCATTGAAGAATGTTTTTTTAGTTGAATAGATTGCACTAGTTTGTGTATTTTGGTGTTATTGTTTCTGTTGCAGCTGTGACTCTACGGCTATCAGTTCTACATGGTAGTTAGGGTGCATAGAGGTGTATTGTAATAGGTCACGTGATGACACATACGTGGACAATCGATTGACATTTCACATATGTAGAAAATGGTAAAGATTTCCATGTATAACACCATTGTCTTATGGTAAAGTTTTCCATGTATAACACCATTGTCTTATGGTAAAGATTTCCATGTATAACACCATTGTCTTATGGTAAATCACTCAATGCAGTGCAGAAGAGCCAACTTCGCGGTTCCTGTGTACCGTCATAGGCAAATAAATGCATTGCCATGCCACATGACTCAGTGTTAAAAAGAGTACTTTTTCACGACATGAAGCTAAAAATAGCATGGCATGAAACAGCATATGTAAGTCAGAGTGTGCTAATCTCTTTTATATAAATTGGGCATGACCTCATTAATATCCATACGATATTACAAGCAAACCAAATACAGGTATGCTACTAGATGGATAAGGTCACATGACTTAGGTGGATGTGTCTCTTGCAACCAAGCCCATGGCAACCAACGAAAGAAAAGTGTTTGTGAACATACTACTTAGTGGAAAGAAAAAACGGTTGGAAGGAATTGTTTTGGCACCTAGCAACCCATGCAACGTGTTCAATATGCTATTGACCCAAGCCACTCATTGCTGCTTGCAGCTATAGTTTTAAATGTAATGTAAACCACTAGGACACATCAATAAAACTGTATCGGCAAGTTACGGAAGATCGTATTTAAAGCACACCGCAAAACTAGTTTGGTAAAAACGTAGATCCTAACAGAACTGTGGCGTCTAAATTGTCGTGCTTCATTGGCAAACCTTTGGTATAACAGCTCATTCACTCTAATAACTACACACAACACAATACTTTCAGTTCAATGTTCATATACGAGTAAGGTAACTCCAATTGTTTATTCACTGCTTAACTAACAGATATAAAGTGATACTAGTACATTTGAAAGTCTCTAGCATAATCAGCGCCCTCTATAGTTGCAGTAGCCAAATACACGGTAATGACACAAATCATACGAATGGAATTACAGTTGCTCCCTAGTAGATACAACCATATATGTGAACATATTAACCAGTCTTACGAATACGCGTGACATTGCCCATGACCATCAAAATAATGACAGAACTAGTACAATATGCATTTGATACCCACAACGTATGTATGAAACACCAGAAGCTTATAAACACTAACACTAAAATACTTACTGATATATGCAGGTTATGTTGAGAGAAGAAAAATTGTGAATACTGACATCCGATGAAATATCTCAACATACAAAATACAAAAACACATATATACATGTATAAGGATAAATTCAGCATGGATGAACATAATTAAGAAGTCTATCAAAAAAGATTCAGTTCAAATTGTTATCTGCGGTTGTTGAGTTTTGGTCACGAGATAAACAATTTAACTATAGCTGCCTAGGTGTCAACGGGATACCCTTGATTGTCATTTTTCCATCGCTTGTACTCGACTATAAAATAACAGAAAACACCAACTATGAGGACGCCTATCAGAATATATAACTTGATGTATACACAGATAAAGATACTGTATGCGAAAGATACAGTGAATCCAACTGACTCCCATAGTCTGTAGTTGGAGAAGGCTGCTTCTTTGTCATCGCTGAATAATATCCCATAAATTGCTGAAATAGGAACAAATAATTGTAAATATAAATATATAAATAAGAATGGTAACAAGAATTCTCATGTGCATGTCTTAATTCCATTGTATCTATCGAATACAGTGTCATAATCTAAAACATGATTGATTACTTAGTATTGTCAGTTATATATAACATTATAGAAATTAGAAATTTTCACGATTGTTGCCTCAATAAATACCAGGAACGCAATATGTGCAGAGACACTGCACCATTACACACTGCTGTTCGTCAAATTAAATTACCATGTATGTTAAGCCTCAAGCAGAACACACAATTTGAATTACCAAGCGTTTTCTACACAATGGCGTTGCATGGAGGCATTCAAGTTATAATTACGAATATAACAAAGATGGGTAAAGCAGGCTTACTATTAATCTGTGTTTGCCATATTGCATCAGCCATACCCCATCCTATTGCTATGGTGAAATATATAGCTCCATCATCATCTCGGGGTTCCCATAGTAACAACGATACTATGAGAACCAAGTGAATCAAAGTACCCACAGCAATCAGTATCACCCGACCGATATATTTTGCAACGTATCCGGCGATAAAAGAGAATAACGTATCGCTGACACCATAGCATATCATGATGTATCCGACCATTTCAACACCGATAACACATGACACATATGACTGGTAAAAATAAAAATATAAATAAGTTAGTCGGGTTTGTGCCAACATTCGAACAAAGTACACAATATACTGTTTGTATTCAGTGTACTCAGTAATGACATATTATCTGAAATTTTAGTCACGAGTGATAAATCACTGTTGTTCGTTGCAAGGGTAACAATCTGTTATACACGAAAGACGTCACAAACCGTTAGCAATTCTTTAATAGAAATACCTTAGTAAAGTCACCAGCGATGAAAGCCTGTTCAAGACCACTGTAGATTGTTAGAGGTATCATTAATTCCATTCGGTAATCTTTGAGAAGTTTCAATGTGACTAAGAAAAGATTACACGATGGTTTCTGGTGGGTCTTCTTTTCCTGATCACCATTCAGTTTGTCGAGTAATACGATGATAATAATAATAGCGATGATACCACATACTAGGTACATGGTTATTAGTAAATTAGTCACATTGCGTGCTGGTGGATTGCAGAAAGTTGTGTCATTCCCGTTATTTTTTTGGCAATCGTCGGCACCACATGTGTATGTCCCAGTTTCTTCAGTAGAGTTGCTATCATCAGCTAATCCCAGCACCACGGATGACATGAGGTTACCCCATATTTGACTGCTTTGAAAAAACATGAAAAATACACCAAAGTTGCGATTGATGACGATTTCTGAACTCTCGTGGCTTAATTCTGCATATTGGGAACTGGTTGTAGTTAAATACGTAGCCTTAGACGTCCATAGGGGTGCTGCCGCAAATCCCAAGAGCACTGAAGCTGGTATAAGTGTATACCACTCTGGATAATAATTTGCACAAGTATATAGCACATAGCAAATCATGCAGATAACCAGAGTCCATTTTGTACCCAGATGACGTATGATAATCGGAGGAAGGAACGATGATGACACAATCAGAGATGCATAGATACATGATAATGATGCAAATCCCAGACTATCATCACAATTTATACTGCTTTGAAGATTAGACAAAGCTTGAAATGCAGTGAATAGAAAAAGAAATCCAAGGCTCAATGAAAGTATGTTTTTAAAAAGACTTCTTTTACATTTCTCCCAACCGGATTCCCTTTCTGTAGATTCCAGCCAGGTATCAACAGTTTCATCTTTACTGTAATCAAAGTCCATCTTGTCATTGACACCAATTTCACTGACATCTACTGGATTAATCATCGTGTCAGCACAATCTTTATTCAGTGCATTATCATCACTTGTTAACGTCTGTGTACTCTTCGAATCCATAACTATTACTCAATTACTGAAAGTACATACAACATTAAGACCTTGACTAATTAGTATAATAGCTTACTTATAGCTTCGAGAAAAAATCAAGCACAATGACGGACACTCCCCATATTCCACGACCACAATTTTCGATTTAATTTGTACCTCACTGAATGTAAGTCTCCCTTAACTTTGTTCAGTCATTTTCATTAACCGAATTTATTATGATTTTGTATTAAAAGGTAGAGCACATACGAACATCACTTTGTTCTAGTTTAGTGGAATTTCACTCACTCTTTCATGTATAGACTACTACAAATGTGACGTAGAGTTTACAATGTTTTATGTATACAAGGAATACAATTTAATGCTTAATATTTGCGTGTGTCATGTAGGTTGTTTTTTGCAGAAAGGTACATTGTCTACGTCATAACAGTCAGTGGCGTGTCTCATCAAGATATTCGTTTTCTGAACATTTTTAAATTCTTTTTTCAACTCATTTGTTGGAATATATAGTATACCATCGTCCAATTAGAAAGCATTTTAGCATAAGTATACGCACATAAAATGATTTAATAATTATTGTATAACTCACCTCAGCAACACACTAATTCCTTTAGTGTAAAAACTATTTTTACCAGGGTGCATTGCAACGTTTGACCTTAAATTGAAACTGTAATACAAACAGTACCTTGTTGACAATAACACATTTTATTATTGTCCCTTTTCATTATGGAACAAAGTTCGATTGTATTCTGACGGGGCGATAACGGTAATAATCAAGTGGATAAGGGACGACGTCAAAAGATCGATGTCGGATAAAAAAATTCTTTTACTTTTTTCTCATGGCGTCAGACTACATTAACCATTAAATACAAATTGATAATCGGACAGTAGTATGGCATAGCAGTTGGTTGCCGGGTGGGTGTAAAAAGACTTTACACTCGGACCAAACCATTTTCTCGTCTTGGATGTGTTTTTTTTTAATTTCCTGTTATTTTTGTCCATGATTGGATAGAAAAAAACGAACTACAAATACTCCAAGGTTTTTTTGACTTCATTAAAAAATAAAATCGTTTTTGTAGGATGGAAACTTTTTGAGGTCAAAAAACCCCACCCCCACCCCAAACTAAAGCAAATAAGTTTTTATTCCGACATCGATCTTTTGACGTCGTCCCTAAAGGAACCTGTCATTGTGGCCAAGGAGGTTGTTGTCTGGTTACACAATCAGTACGTACATGTATTAATAATTAAACAATACAAACGACAATGATTCTATTATTCTACCGTATCCCAAAAATAGCTATATATTGTCTTATCCTAAGTATAAATCATAATAATATTTATATTGTTGTTTCAGGTGAACACATCAATATGCAAAGACCGCAACTACAGATTTGAAATTCATACTTTAAAAAGTAACTTGTTTCCTGATTATCAATAAATAGCACACCCTAAATAGCTGCAAGAAAAATAAAAGCGAGGATAGAGGTCAGAATGACTTGTTAAATTATGATTAGGCTACACCGATTTAATTTTATGGATGACATCCGCGCGCGCATTAGTTTTCGCCTGTTCTCAAAAAAAAAAAAAAAAAAAATCTCCGACGACGAGTCTCCACAGATCGGTTTTCTGTCCGGAACTTGCCGACTCACATTGTCGCAAAGCGCCGACTTGTCGTAAAACTCCTTTTGGACTACCTCAAAACCAAACTCCGCACAGTTAGATGCGCGTTACGTAAAGCGAAAAGACCCATGGGAAAGAGATTGCCTTAAAACATGCACATTTTGCCATAAATGATCCAACATGGCGACCACACCACCAAAATACGTGAGCATAAAAGTTCAGAGGTGAAACGGAGGGATTGTTGTAGACTGGTACGCAATTGACGTTGGCCAGGGAGACGTTTACACAGCTATACGAGAGGTCGGTAGCGGCAAGCGAGTTTTGCCCAGACAACTTTAAAAACATATTGTCCAGAGTGGCTGTCCCGCGTTTCTTCTGCAACGATGAGAGAAATGGGAGAGGAGTGGAGGTGTATGGTGGCCTAAAAGTCAGTCAGGCGACAAATCAGTTCGGTTGCTTTGTCCGCATTGAAGTCGACAAAACTGCAACAAAAGCAGCAGAAGCTCCTTGGCCGAAGTCCCCTTTTCTTCTTATTTTTTTTCATTTTCTGATTCGGATAATTTGCTTGCACACACATTCAGTAATATTTTGATCATATGACGCATTTTCATCAAGATACATGTACATAATTTTCTGCATCCAAATTTTTGTTGACTCTCTGTTGGTGTTTTTTTTCAATATCGAGCCTCTTATAATTTGTTACATAGTTGAAGTACATGTAGTTCTAGAGCAATTGTGTCTACACTTAGTCTATCTGAAGTGTCACTTTAAAAGCTGTAGTTTGAATGTCAAAGAAGTTAATTTCCAGGTTGCCTTTGACAAACTTATTGTTCATTTTTAATTATTTTTTTTTCAATACAACACAGTAAGTTTTTCTTTATTATTGAGTTGATGTGTATGCCTTTGGCAATGCTAACATCTGCCTTATCCTCTTGCCTTTTCAAAATCAAAGGTGATGATACCTGTGACAGTAATACAATACGAAATGTGTACATCAACATGTGCCTCCTACAAATAAAGACTTGTTTTTTTTTGATACACTGTGGTTAAATTCGTAATAATAGCTCCGTAGTCCTGTAGTTTTAGCAGCATTTTTTTTTTTTGGCCAAATTTTTTTTTTCGCCCTCTCGCATTAGTTTTGGGATCTTAAGAGGATGTCATCCATAAAATTAAATCAGTGTGGCCTTATTACACTGTCTACAAACGCGTTAAGTGCATCCTTACAATATACAAGTATTCGTTTTCCTTGAGGTTTACTGGGGTCATCGCCTTGTCATCGGTGTTATTTGGATGAACCTGTCTCCAGATTGCAAACGTGTCATCTCGCTCCTTCATGCTATTAGCGTCGGAGTAGAAGGAAACCCCCCCCCCCCCGTTGAAAGATTTATTCAATTTGCTTTCGTAAAAAAATCCTGTATCCGCCCCTGATTTATGAACATAACCGCGTTTGGCAGGGCATACGCCCATGATATGCCTGCTATTGACGATGCTTGGGAAAGCAAGATGCACGTAATTCTCGATGAATATGGTGACAGAAGGGTTGTGTAGGATGCCACCGTATGGGACTTTAAAAACAATTCTTTTATGAAATGCTCAATTTGAAATAGAATTTCAAAGGAAAGGTATATCAATTTTTACAATAACGGTTAACCCATCCAAAATATGCGTAAAAAGCATTTCATGGACGAATTCTGCTCAGAATTTCTTCGAAAATAGCAAAAATCACTCCCATTAGCTCACTAAATACTCATTGTAGTTCTGTTTATAAAAGAACTAAGAACAAAAAACACTCAAATGGTTGAGTAGGTGTATAAGAAATAGTCGTGAACAGCAAATAACATCATATTTGTGATATTTTTCCATTTTTTGTTCAATACACAATAATAATATTCGCTCTATTCACACAGAAGATTTCGTATAGGGCAATGCAACTATCCATGTATATTTGTTATCATCGATATCCAAAGCTTATCCTTAATTCACCTTGAAGTGTTAAATGTACCTAATGCATGTAGTATAATTTATATACGATCAAGGTTCAGCCTTGGTATACTACGAAAATCCTACATTGATACTTACTGGACCAAAATACCCCAAACCCCAAACACATGTAACAGGGGGAGCCTAGAGTTGAAGTGAACTGATGGGTTGGTGAGTAGAAGGGTTGACAAAGGCGGGATACACCCTTATACTGTTGTGTGATGTGTCTTGAAGTATTCCAATCTGATTAAAATCTGATGTAGTGTACGGGCTTTAATTATTTTGGCTATAAACCTATTTTATTTTTATTTTTATTTGTTATTACTTTTGTTTTTAATCAGATTGGAAGTATTCATAAATGAATTAAATAAATTTCTTAATATAAATATCTCATTGACTATTTATTTGCACACAATAAACTAAACAATATCATGTCAAGCGATTTAAGTATAGCAACTATTGTTGGATGTTCAGTACATTATTTATTGACAAATGAGTGTATATATTTGCGATTTACAATAATATCGCTTTTATGTCAATTCGCCATATTTTATAAGTAATATAAATATATGGAAATATATATATATAATTGTTATTAATTAATATCATTGAAATTTCATTGAAACTCGTAATAAACATAAGTTATATACTCAGTAATCATAATGCCTTAAATATGATAAATTTAAATATTAAAATCAGCACTGTGTTGAAAATATGCTTTGTTACATATTTATTATTTGAATACTTAGCTTTAAACCTATAACGTGTGGGAGGGTCACAATTTGTCATGCATTGTTCATGAAAAGTTTAGTTTTTTATGTAAATGTTTGTGAAGTTTGAATATTTTCCATGCATTTGTTTGTTTTTAAATCACTGAACCTTCATGTATATTTTCTATCCAATTCCTTATGGTATTGTACTCAGTTGATTTCTTGATTCATACGCCGACCATTAATCATCATCTGTGTTGGAGCTAGTGGGGGAAGTCGTCACCTGCGCATGCGTCAGATGGCCATGGCGTGTCATTGTTTACAAACAAGCGTCTACCCATGAGCCTTTGCGTTTTTAGCGCGTGTTGTTATTGTCGCTTGGGACTCTATTCCCGTGCGTGCGCAGGTGACGACCCTCTCGTCACTTAAAAGTGATTTGTCATTTTTATTATACTAATTTTGGTTGGACTTAATAAGTCAACAGTCAAATTCTGACATTCTCATATGTAGAGAACTGTTTATGTATCTGACAGATATTTGATGAGCATGTAGCTCTAAAGAGGATTGTCATATTGTGCACGGTATTTCACCAACACTATGCAAGTCATGTTTTAGCATGTCATAAAAAAATGTCAGCAATATCCAACAAACCCGGAAAGAGCATATTGTGCCGATTGTTTGTTTGTGAGTGTGTCCAAAGCAGCCATTGAAGTATTCATAGCAACGTGATTCAACAGCCTATAAGTTGATCACTGCTGCTTGCAGCTATATTTCCTAATGTTGTTACTGTTTTTCCATATGTTGTATTCCACGACAAAATAACAAATTACAGCTAGTATTAGCATTCCTATAAGGATCAGCAGGTTGATATAGACGCATATAAATATGCTATATGCAAAGGAAACTGCAAATCCTATAGATTCCCATAGTTTACAGTTAGAGTAACTTGCTTCCTGATTATCAGGGAATAACACACCATATATAGCTGCAAGGATAGAAAAGAAACCACTATGATATTTTGATTGATGATCAGTGTGTGAGTTGGTTATAGTTGTGCTAACATGGATATCCCATAATATTATATTCTAACTTACTGATGATAAATAGCAATGACCACAGTATAATAATTGTTTGTTGCCACAATCAGTTGTTTTCAAATCTGGTGACGGATGTGACGTCAGAGAAATGCATACTCAGAAAATTGTTTGAATGTCATGATTCACCTTATATATTCTGTAACTAAGTAACTATAAATATTACAATTACGAATTCATTTTAACTCACTATACATCTGTGTCTGCCATATAGCATCAGCCAGTCCCCACCCAGCAGCAATAATAAAGTAGACTGGCATCTGCTCTGCACGTGGCTCCCAAAGCAACAAGGATATAGAGAGTGATACTAACATTGCTCCACCTATGGCAACCAAGGTCACGCGGCCTATGTATGTCGCCACACGTCCAGCGATGACACAGAAAACAGTGTTACTAACACCGTAACATATCATAACATAACCAACCATATTGACTCCAATGACGCATGATACATAAGACTGTAAAAAATAATAATGTAACATTTTTTGTGTTGAGAAGCTAAACAGCTGGACCAATTCGCATGTGTTAACAATGTACACAATAATAATGTAGTATTGTAAGTATTAGACTTCACTCACTTTCACAAAGACTCCTGTAATAACGGCCATTTCTATACCACTACACACCGACATTGGAATGACGAACCATATTCTATCATCTTTCAAAAGTTTGATAGTGGCCAATAATAGATCACATGACTGTTTCTGTTCCTTTGGTTCTTGTCCTACTTTCAGTTTGTCGAGAAATATAACTGTAATAATAATAGCTATAACACCACATGCCACATACAGAGTTAGTAAAATAGTTGTTAAATTCTGTGGAGGTAAGTCACAAAATGTTGTCTGGTTACCTTCAGTTTCCTGGCAGTCATTAGCCCCACACGTATATGTTACATCGTTAAACGAAGTAGTGTTACGATCATCAGAAAGTCCAAGAACTACTGAAGAAAGTATATTTCCAAATATTTGGCTACTCTTTAAAGTCATCGAAAATATGCCAACATTGCGATTTACTGTATTTTGCCAGTCTTCATCATTGATATTGGCGTACTGGATACTGATGGTGGTGATATACATAGCCTGGCACGTCCACAGAGGAGCAGCTGCAATTCCAAGGAAAGCTGAAGCTGTCATAAGAATGTACCACATAGGGTAGTAGTTGGCAGCAGTGTAAATTACATAGAATACCATACTGATCACTAATGTCCATTTTGTACCAAATGTATTGATTGCAATGGAAGGTAGTAATACAGCAGATACAATCATAAAGGCATACATACAGGCTAAAGACGCAAATCCTAAACCATCGTCACAGTTTATACTGCTTTGTAGATTGACTAGACCGTTGAACGCTGTAAACAAGAATGTAAAAACTGTACACAGTACAAGCATATTTTTTACAATTTTCGTTTTTTCTTTCTTTTTCTCTTTATCTGTCTGCATTTCCTCTGTGCAAATTTGCCTACCAACATAAACAGACTGATTCTTAATGTCCAACATTTCTGTTTTTTCATCGATAATTTCCTCTTCATTTCCATCTTCTCGAGACGGTTTGTAGATGATTCCCGTATTTAAATGTTCGTTCTTCAAATCCATCGTAAATTTAGTATCTGATAAAAAATATAACGAATATATAATTCATTAACGTTAAAGTTAATTGAGATTTGATCAGTTATTTAAAATTAAATAAGTAGTTCTCCAGAAATTCTCAATAAGGGAATGACCATTTATTATTTCTAATGGGGGTCTGGCAATTCTCAGTGCTTTTTCAAAAAAATCAATGGGTGTCCCCTTTAGAAAAAAATGAAAATTTGTAACCCCCTCTCTCTATATATATATTCATGTGTTTTTATTGAACTTTTACATGTATATATGACGAAACAAAAATACTTCAGTCTGTCTACTTTGTGGATATACACTTTATCTTTATCAGATAAAATGTTTTACTATAAACAGTAGAGATAAAACTGTCGCCTCGAAAAAGCATTTTGATAAATAAACACTACTACAAGCAATCTGCAATTTCTGTGAAGTAAAAATACACAAATTGACATATAATATTTTGAAATTTATATTAACAGTTCTACACATTTGCCTGAAGAAAGACTTATTTAGCTGGTTACTAGTGAATGTGTTATATCTGTCATCATTTAGGCTCATGCGAGGTCCTGGACGTAACTTGACTCAGTGATTTGGAACTAAATACGATATAACCATCGCCATCCGGACTACTATTTCTGGCAGTTTGGTATTTGCAGTTATTAATATAGTGAACGATTAATCGAAAGATATGACGTGTTCAGTACTTAGTGTGATTGGCTATTGCAAGTTGAATGTGTGAAGGTTACGCCTTATGTCTTTAAACTTTTTTGTAAGTCTCTGACGAGGCAGTTTGCCTTGAGGCGCTCTCGATGTGGCTAAAGACTAGCTATTGAAACGTATTTCGTTGTGTGCGTCTATTTGACTGTAAAGCTTAAGTGACTTTCCCGGTCCGGTACCTCAAGCCAACGTAATAGACACACGACGAAAAATTCCCCATGACACCTGTTTTACAATAATGGATACTTTTAAATTTTAAATCTTTCTATATGTATATTTTTATTTATTATATTATAAATATATTCAGTTTATTTACTTTGTGTTCAATAAAAAGGCGTAAAGTAAGTAAAATTTCTAAGAGAAAAATATTCGGCCCCCCTTCAGCCTTGATAAAAGGTCACTGCCCCCCCCCCCGTGGCTTTGGGAAATATGCTGCCCCCCCCCCCGTCAGGAACAATAGATGGTCATTCCCTAAGTATGTATAATGAATTCTACCATAGACCTTTTTAAGGTCTATGATTCTACCAAAGAATGCAAAATATAGATATATAAACATCCCAGTCTAGGTATGCCCATATAACTCTATACAAAGTTGTAACTTATAGAAATGGGAAGGCGTTGTACAGTTAATACACACACCCCTTTCTGTAACCTTAATTTGTGAAAACTTATATTAATGTAAGTTATGAAAATAGTAGACGGGCGTCACTATGTATGTATATATATCAACAAAAACGAATATTTCTCCATATATACCACAAGCAGTTTTTCGAGCTATCATTTCTATGCTTAAATCTATTTATTTTTATTTGTTTCATTCTGTTTATTTTATGTGAACATTGAACCCAATTCCAGATATGTAGGCGGCTACTGACATAGAGCTACCGACTATCCTGACAAAGATACGTAATCGATAATATGACAGGATATGACAAAGTCGTTCGTGAGCTGTGTTTTGTTATCGTCCCTAACAACCGTATTACTATATGTAACACCCAATACATAATACTGCACTTGGAGTTACTATTTTTAGTTCCACTTACCTCAGTACAACGTTTTCCACACACGCCACGTCTCTACATCGCAAATACACATTCTGAATATGATGCCAAGAGACCTTCAGCAGCATGACCTTAAATGTTCGCTTTAAATATAACCCTAGGTCAGGCCGGTGAATGTTATCATATAACTCGTGGACACATACTCATAAAAAGTTCAGATCGCCTTATTTAATAATTATATATTTTGTCCGAGTGTTTTTTTGGATATCAATTTAGTATTTCTCTTTAAAAAAAACGAAACCAACTGAAATAAATCCAATTTCTTCAAACAATCCATCACATAATAAGAGGTAAATGAATAGAAGTTTAGATTTAATATTTGAACAAGTAAATGATAGGAAATAATAAACAATAAAGAATTAAAGAAATAACACAATTAAAGCAGTAATGGTGTCAAGTTCAATATCACGGATGTCAATGACGTAGCCAAATTTCACGGATATTGTTCACCATAGTTCAACTATAGTCTATTTTAGTCGCTTCTACAGACTTTAAATAGTCCTATTTTTTCTAGTTATATCGAGAACCAGAGACGTTTGCTCATTTCATTTGTCCGCCAATTAATTTGCGATCGTAGTAGCAGTTTGTCTTATCATGTTGTTTCTCATCACTTTTCATACATGTCTTATGCCGTTTGTAGTCAGTTACACAACTTGGTTATGAAATCCGATCCGGTATAGTTACATGATCTTCTACAGGGTAAGAAAGAAAAGTCTAATCGAGAGGCATCTGTCATGAATTTGGTTTTGCGTATCTGTTGACCGACTTAATTAGTTGATTATTAGCTGAATTGCTGTGTTATGTCTGTCATCGTTTAGGCCTATTTGAAGTTTTGGACGGAACTTGGCTCAGTGATTTGGAACTAATTACGAGATATCCGTCGCGATTCTGACAGTTGGTATCCATAGTTATTAATGTAGTGAACGATTAATCAAAAGATACGACGTATTCAGTACTTAGTGTGATTGGCTTTATGATTGAAGGTTACGCCCTAGAGTCTTTTTACTGCTTTGTAATTGGTTAGAGTTTTGAAAATGAATAAAGAGAGTTTGAGTTGGTCTTGGGGAGCAGAGCACGATAGACGCAGTCTGAGAGTCGTGGGCAGTCCTGGAGAGACTTGGGGCGAGTGTTGACGCAGTCGAAGAGAGTCTTGGGTCAGCCTTGTGATAGTCTTGGGGACTTTTCCCCAGGGCGCTGTGTCTTATAGAGTGCTCGATTGACCGACTAAGACGAGAGCTGAAACGTATTTCGTTGTGTGTGCCTTATTTGACTGTAAAGTATAAGTGACTTTCCCGATCCCGTACCTCAAGGGGACGCGATAGAGAGACGAGACGAGTTTCCCCCCTGACACGTGTAGAGAACCCGAGAGTAGAAAGAATTGATATAGTTTGGTTTTTCCTGTGTTGAGTGATATCGTGCACCGCGGTGCACCATGGTCACTGGCGATACATTCAAATACCAGTCAAATTGGTCATCGTTGCTAAATTCAGATATATTGACTAATCAGTTGTTATATTTTTTCTATTTGAAAACGTGTGGAGCGAACTAGAACATGCCTCGAAATATTTTTCTTAACACAGGAACAGGAAACAATTCATAACCATTACCAATTGCAACCGAGTACACTTCGTCTCACAAATGCTAAATTTAACTGTTCATCTGTGACCATTACCATTTGCCTGTAACGAGATGGTATATGCGAAGTTTGGTAACACTGAACACCAGACAATCTGTCTAGAGACTCGTCGATTACAAGCAGTGGGTATGCATCTTTTATTCACTCAGTCAACACAAAATCTCGTCTTATTTCTTGGCCACCGAAATTATCAGACGAACTGAATCCAGAATCCAGCTTTTGGCATCTCTGTCACTAGTTTCTCATCTTTGCCTCACCTACATATTGGTAACCACTACATGCATTAATTAATAACAAATCTGTCACCAGTAGGTATTCATCAGGTTGTATCTTTGCCACAGTAACAATTCACAACTTTTGGATGTTTATCATACCATAATGATGAGAGTGGCATTTTAGTCTCATGCTTCATAACAACTACTCACCATGACTGAATTGTCACCATTCCTTGTAAATATTTAAACGCTGCCCCTGCAGCCGCAACAAGGCATCACTTCTCGACCAAAACTAAAGTGTCTCTTTTCCAGATGTAGCATGCTTCCCATGGCACCAGTGCATCCATCCATCCATGCATGCATCAATGCATATATTTGCCACAATCACTTCTGACTATATCATGCACCTTCCAATGTGTTTTTACCAAACTCCGTTAAAGTGCTTCAATTTATTTAACACAGTTCATGACATTTGTAACCACTAGCCATGTAATGAACATAGTGGTACTGCG